ATGGTGATTTTCCATAGTTATGGCATATGGTTTCATAAATACTACCCTCTGGTAATTTAACAGTTTGCTATTGAAAATGGCCCATAGAAATAGTTGATTTATCCATTTAAAATGATGATTTTCCATAGTTATGTGTATGTTTACCAGAGGGTAAACATCACCAAAACCGTTTGTACATAATCCCTCCATAGATTGCCCCAATGGTAGATTTCCTGTTCGTGGACGATTTTCAAGATTATCCATCATTTTATTGGCAAAACTATCCGTCACCCAAGAAACTTGCTAGCTGGGTGCTTTCTTCACCCATTATTTTGGGGGTTTCCAATTTATAGGGGTACCCCAAAATCATCCAAAATTACAGCATGTTAGTATTGAACCCTATGATTTTGGGGGATCCCAAATTTTAGAAAACCTCCATTTTCGTAGAATTTGTCTTGCCCGACCAAAGCTGACCTAACGAAAATGGGAGTTCCACCGGCAGAAAAAGCGTTCATATCTTACATTATATCAATACTAGGGAGAAACGGAAATAATATATTAGGTTATGAACCACTGAATCCCATAAAATCACCAGAAAATCCCAATAAACCTCATCTGGTTGGTGGTTTCAACCCCTCTGAAAAATATTAGTCAGTTGGGATGATTATTCCCAATATATGGAAAAATAAAATTCATGTTCCAAACCACCAACCAGTGATAGAATCCCCATAAAATCCAAGTAAGCACCTGGTAATTCCCATAAATCCTATGAAATCATCATGAAATCCCTAGAGAATCCCTATAATAACACCTGTTTTTCAGCCAAGGCGTCCCGTATGTCCACAGTCCTCGGAGTGCAGATAGCTCCGTCGCAGCACGCTGCAGTGGCTTTGCGTGGCTTCTCGACTGAGGAGACGGGCTTCAGAAGGCTGGCCTGGGGTGGAGTCGGTCGTGCCCCCATAGTTAGACTGGCTGGTGGTTGAGCCTACCCCTCTGAAACATGATGGAGTTCGTCAGTTGGGATGATTATTCCCAATATATGGAAAAATGTTCCAAACCACCAACCAGTAGAAGTTTGGTTTATTAACCCCATGAATACCATAGTTATCTAGTTCGTTATATCTACCATAAACCATAGTTCATTCAGCCACAAACATAAACCAACTGAACGCGATCGCTCGCTCGACTGGGGGCCCCATCCTGTTCGATATATCTACCATAAACCCATAACTTACTGGAGTTATTTCCACCAACTTCGCTAACGAACTGGGGCACTGTCCGTGGAGTCCGTCGACGGGATGTTCATGGGAATGTGATGGTTTCCGGCTGGGGGTACACCCAGTCATCATCCAAGTCATAAGAGCATGGCTTAGTATTGAAACGCATGGTGACGACTGGGGTACCTCTAGGAAACCTCCATGTGGTCACTGGGTTGGTTCAACGGAAAAATAGAGAACGGAAACCAGGGCTATCTGTGGAAAAACCATAGGTTTTGAGCGCCAAATGTCAGGTTTTCCCGTAATTCTTCCCTTCAAGTCTAGCTGGTTTTCCAAAAAATGGTGGTTGTTCTGGTTGGTTTTGTAGCTGTTCAGTTCGTGGTGAATCACGAGGATACGATTGGAGCATGTCCATTCGATCTTCTATAGACGCTATATATTGTTTTCAGCGCTATGATAACTAACATTACTTTATTTTTTTTTATCATCATCAAGAGCATGATCATTACAATGATCATCCTCAATATTTATTGATAACTATCATCTAAGATACGCATGTTTATAACTATCATGAAAAACAATGATAAACATGATTTTAGTTGTAAACATATGATAATGTGTTTTACCAAGCAGTGATAATCAATGATAATCAAGAAATAAAAAATGTGAAACATTCAAGACATTATGATGATATACATTTTTACAACTATCATCACTTTTTCTTGATCATTATTGCTTTCAAAGAACCCTCCTTCCACCCCGGCGAGGTTGATTGTAACAACGGAGTTTTGGGGCTGATGCAGGCCTCTTGTTACTCTCTGGTGTCAAACATATATGACTAGAAATTCCACATACTTCCACTATATCACTATAAAATACTATAAATCGGCATTGAAATCGGAAACATCATCGAACCAAAGAGAAGATTTTCCAGCCATGTTTGATTGCCAGACGGTATATCCCATTCAAATCCATTTAATTCCCATTAAATCATCATTAAGTCCCATAAAGCTATCATTTTTCTTGGTGAAGTCCGGTTTCAAATTCCACAACTTTCAGTTGAGCGACCAAGAGAGGCTGAAGCAACACGAAACTGTTGGCTCTGAACCAAGGTGGAAGGGTCTCCTTCCTTGCGAAGATTTGGATCGAAGGTTGGTGGCGTACTCAAAAAAGGTCATCCATGGTCTATTAGGGACGTACTTCCCCAATAGTCATAATATCTGGTTGGTGGAATAATAATGGTTAATATATGGTTAATATATGGTTATTATATGGTTATTATATGGTTAATGATGGTTAATAATAATCTAGTTGGTGGTTGAGCCTACCCTCTGAAAAATGATGGAGTGAAAGTCAGTTGGGATGATGACATTCCCAATATATGGGAAAATAAAACATGTTCCAAACCACCAACCAGATATGATACTTAAATGGTAATCCACCAATTAAACAGCCGTGTGGGGTTTATTCATCCAGGGTTGACATTACCCTGCAATCAATGTGGGAAACCCTGCAATTAAAACCTACCGTTTCAAGTTCTTGGGATGGTGTTACTGCACCCTTTTGTGGTGAATTTGGGGATGGTTCATTATTATTGGGTTTACCACACAATATGATTCTGGGGTAAAAACCGTTAACCATTCCAAACTTTCAGGTAGTTCACATCAAAATAGCTGTTGTTATAACATTGCCAATCTTAGATACCCTGCAAAAATTAAAATTCTTTGCTGGTTAGTAGATATTCCCATTAATACCAAAAGACTAGTTAGGATTAAAGTATCCATGTAAGATTGACCTAGATAACCTGATATTCATCCCAAATGTGGGAACTACCAAGCTACCAACGCCGAACCACGAGTCGCGAAATCTGGCGATGCTCATCCCGAAAGATGGTGTCACGATAAAATTCACAATGTGTCACAGGCATGAACCGAATATACGGCATTCGTATACCATTTACAGTCATGTACCATGAAATATGCTAAACATGCCTATATAATCCCATATATCACTAATCTACCACGTATATATATATATATATATGTTTAGATCTGTATAAACAGTTATATACAAGATGAGGCCCCCAGTTTTGAGTTGGTTTAGTTTCACCCTATTAACTATAGTTATGTTATTTTATGTTACCCGTAAAGCTCAGTTATATCAGGTATAAGTCCAACTTTAGCTATCTAGGGGTCCCTTTTTCCATGGCAAACTGTTTGTCATAACCAGAGGGTATACATCCCAAATGGACCAGCTGCCACTGAGTATCAACCGCATCTTGCCTCTTGGCTGCCGCCAGAACCAAAAAGGCACCCAGCCAAATCATCCCGCAGAATTGGGCAAGGCCGAGTGACTGTTCTCTTTCCATTTCCAAGTCTGATGCTGATATGAACCTTTTTTTTATTGAGTACATTTTGGATGATTGTGATGATTCTGATAGTTGTTGTTGCAGCTATAGTTGTTGTTGCAGATTCTGATGTACAGTGTGCTATTGTTCGACCTCTCAACAGACCACAGAATATGCACCAACGGGGTTCAGTACCGAGTCTGTCGACCGACTTGAAACAAACGGTGGAGGTCAAGGGCAAACACTGGCAAACACTTTTCATGAGTGGATGAATAAATGAGATGACAGGGACCGCCATCCAAGATTTATATAACTGGTCGGTGGTTTCAACCCCTCTGAAAAATATTAGTCAGTTGGGATTATTCTTCCCAATATATGGAAAAATAACAAATGTTCCAAACCACCAACCAGATAAATATGTACAACAGGAAACTCTGGTCTTTTTTGGAAACAAATGGGTGGCAATCCAAAAGCAGTGTTGTCATCAAGGTGACACAGTGCCGTGGATAACAAGTCACCACTCCAAGATTGACCACCTCTTTACCTCTTTACCTCTGGACGCCAACAAGTTGCTGTAGTTACCTCTTAAACTTATTATGCATAAATGCACCAGCTGGGACAACCTAAGCCAGTCAACCAGCTGGGTCTGTTTGAAAATAGGGTACCCAGAATCTGGTGGTTAAGAGAATATTTGTATCTGTTCTTCAATGACCACAGCTTGGGGTACACCTGCATCCCTACGTTTGGAATACCCAATTAATATGTGTTGCTTGTTGCTTGTTAAATCCCCAGGTGTTGCTGGTGAAATACCAATGAACTTCCTGTCACATGGCAATCTGTTGGTAAATCAATGCGGCAAAACCAGCAAGTTGAACGATTCCCATGATTTATCATGATTTACCCTCTGGTAAACTAACATGACTATGGAAAATCACCATTTTGAATAGGCAAATCCACTATTTCTATGGCCATTTCGCAAACTTTTGACATAACCAGAGGGTATCATCACTTTGGTAGTCCACATAAAATTCATCTTTTGCTGGCTGGTTGAAGACATCCAAAGTTTCTATCCATCCACTTGGCTGGGGACATCACTAGGGATACTTTCCCATCATTACCATTGAAACCTCCACATTTTTCGAAGAATTTCCATCGCCACCATGATTTTTGCTTAATCATTCCAAATCAACTATCTACATATCTCCACCATAAAGCATGATCAACTATAGATATATGATATATAGAATATATCTACAAATATCTACCATAAACATCCATAAACCATAGAATTTTCTGGTTATTTACCTATATATACCACTTTACAATATCTGATTATATATCCAACTATATCCGCATCAATATCCAAATTTAGGTTTAAAGTTAATATTAGAATATATATATATATAATATTCACCTGGTTCTCCCATAGATTTCCATACGAATTCAGCCATCCCACGTCACTTGGCTACCCCGCTGGTGGCTCGATCCATGGCACTTCCACCAGGCGAATCTGACCACGGCGCAACCTGGGCGAAACCCGGCGAAAACTGGGGCTTTTGATAGGGCTTAAACATGGTTTAACCGTTTAGCCATGTTTAGCCCATCTAAAACTGGGGAATTACTGTGTTTTTTTAAGAAAACGGGATTGAACTCATCATGGAACTCAACTAAAACTAGGGGGATTTAGAGTTGATATTATCTGTTGGCTAAGTTGGCTTAGGACTTGGTGAATTATGTGAATTGTAGGGCTTATGTTACTTAGAACTGTATACACTAAGCCAATCTAAGCCAAGTGTGGGCTTTATACCAAAAAAAAATCAATACCATAAGCTATATAGATATAGAGATAGATGTTATTAGTGATATACCCATGATATATCCATATTTTCTATCTACAAAAACCCATGATGATCACTCGGGACGGCCGTCTACCCGTGGTTCTGGGGGATGGTCATCATGGTCATCCCATCAGTAAACCAGAAAACTTGGGGAATGCGATCACTTTTGAATTCCAAGTGGATGGGATATGATGGGATTATGTCTAGAAATATCTGGTTTATTCTGGTTTACTAGTCAAAATGAAAAAATAAGTGGAATTTATTCCACATCATAAAAATGCAAGTGGATTAGCCTCTGGTAAATTAACAGAATTAGACCCTGAACATAGCCAACTGTTTTAATGGTTTCACTCATCTTCCAACCCCAAAAAATGCCATGGTCGTCATGTTAATTTACCAGTGGGTAATTGATTGCTATAGGGGATTATACTACCTGGTTTAATGGGGATTATGTGTATATAAATCTGGTTGGATTTATTCCACATAATAAGTGGAATTATGTCTATATCCCGATGACTTATAAGTGGATTATGTCTATATTAATCTGCTTGGTGATTTTTCTTACTCAGTAAAGTGATGACTTACAAGTATGGGCTTTTTTTGACTTACAAATGTGGTGGTTTGTAAGCAACAAAAAACAACTATATACAATAATAATGGTTAATATATGGTTATTATATGGTTAATGATGGTTAATATATGGTTATTATATGGTTAATATATGGTTAATGATGGTTAATATATGGTTAATATGGTTATTATATGGTTAATTAATAATGGTAAATAAAAATATCTGGTTGGTGGTATACCTATCCACCCCTCTGAAAAATATGAGTCAGTTGAGATGATGACATTCCCAAGTGAATGGAATAATAATCCAAATGTTCCAAACCACCAACCAGATATGCATGTATCTGGTCTACTCCAATCTAATCGAGCCTACTCTATATCCATTTATCCGTCCATCCATCCAATCTATCTTTATATGCATGTTTATACATGTTGTTCTGTACATACACGACATAATCGGGATATAGACATAGAAGTTTAAACAATGCCTTTCAGGAGTTTCGTGGGATTTTGGCTGAGTTTTGCATATGGATGGGCGTGGTTGGCTACTGCTACCAGCTGGTGGGCCACGACATCACCAATTGGTTCATAAATCCACCAAGTCTAGACACACTTCAATGCCGTAGTGTTAGTTACCCTCTGGTAAACATACAAAAAACTATGGAAAATCACCATTTTTAATGGGAAAATCCACTATTTCTATGGCAATTTTCAATAGCTATGTTAGTCATTACCAGAGGGTATATCCTCATTATATACCTGTGCATCGTTTGTAAAATTCCAATCACATACTCACATCACAATTGTCGCCACTTAAATCAAGTTAAATCCTTATTTTTATTGCTGAACTCCTTTATTTTTCGCCGCTTGGATTGGGATGTGATATTCCATGATGTTCCCATAAATCACCACTAGAAACCATCATTTATTGTTTCAATCTACCAATTTTGGAACGTTAACCTTGAGAACCCCCTCATTCATTCCATTTGAGTCATCAGCATTCATCAATATTTACAAGAAAATCACTATCCCATTGTATCCAGGTAACTTAGCCCTTTTTTTAAATACGATGATGTTCTTTTTTTGTGAACCAATGGACAATTTGGCGAAAAATTCAACGTCCCCCCCAACAAGACGGCCACCCTCCGACGGCCACCACCTCTGGCGTGTGCGCGGTGTCAGCGGATATCGCGCCAAGTGTGCAGGGGGCAATAGGAGAACCTGGGCGCCGAAACGGGCGGAAAATGAGGCCCTGGGGACAAAAATATGGTGATTAAAAATGGGTTTGGGATGGGAAATTCTATCATGTTTTCTATCATTTGTAAACAATAATTAATATGTGGTTGTATGATATTCTCATGTGTATAATTCTATCGTACATTAGAACTATAATAATTCTCATATATTCCCATATTATAATAAAAGAATACAGGAGAATATAGTACAACCGCTATACGCAATTCTCACTTGAACATACAAGGTGATGCCCACGTTTACGATAGCCAAGTAATACCTTGGAATAACTTGGTTAACGTTTGGGTTGATTAGGGGGATATAACTATCTAATTGCTGGTTTCAACCCCCCTGAAAAATATTAGTCAGACTGGATCATCATCCCAACTATTGGGGAAAATACAAAATGTTCCAAACCACCAACCAGCTATAGTGATACTAAACCAACAAACATCACTGGAAGGTCTCACCTTGCGTTTTTGTAGTAAACCCAATGCATTAATAAACCTCAGCAACAGTTTCTGTCATGGGAAAGAGAGATGCAGGGTATGCAATGGGAATGGGTAAACCATTGATTCCATTCCATCAACATCATAAAAACCAACCATCATCTAAATTTATCAAAAGCATTCAAAAGCACCATTGATTTATTTCATATCGTTAACCATTGATTCATTAACCAACCATTTCAACGTCATTTTAAATATCTTTTTTTCTCATCCCAGTCATAGGGGGCACTTTCCCAGTTTCTGAACCTCTAATTTTGGATGGGCTTGTATGGTTTACCACATTCGTCACAATTGATCATTATTCAGCATAGACAATATATATTAGTCAGAATAGTCAGAATTGACCATTATTCATTAACCATGGTTTACCACATGGTTTAACATTAGTCAGAATTGACCATTTGTTTTCGCATTTATAACTAGAGTGGTTTACCCAGTATACCCAATAAACCTTAGTTGGGGATGGGGATAGCTATTGATGACTGTATGTCCTAACCCTCTGGGATTATTATGGATAGCCAATAAAACTTTGGATAGCTAATAAAACCATAACTATGAATAGCTAATTGCTATTGATAACTATAGCTATATTGATAACTAATCTCTAGCTACAGCTATATTTCCTATATCTCTAGATGAGGGAGAATGCAGTGGTGATGACTCTGCTGTAGTCCGCGATGGGATCCTTCGCGGTCAGCAACCTGTAAGGTGATGAACCGTGCGCGTTAAGCGCAAACACCACCATGGCTGCCCAGCGGGCTAGGATCGCAATCCAGCATGCGACACTTACCACTGTTCCCTCAGGCAACTTTGCCTTCTTGTTACTCAAATCGTACCAAGGCAATAGACACCGACTGTATATCAAAGAAGGCAAACGCCGCAACAAATACGCGAGCCGCCACCGATCTTGCCCCCGCCCTCAATGCAAGGCTCCTCGAAGAGCAGAATACTGAACTGCATGATAAGAATGCTTGGCAACTGTGGTGGTGATGGGCTCTGGGTCAGGCTCCGTGAAATGAGGGGTCTTAGAAGGTGTTACTTCGGCCGCAATGGCAAGGCAATCAGTTGATTGCTTCATAGCTTTCGCAGCAGCAGCCCTTTTGGAAACAGAGGTTCCTTCATCACCGGGTAAGAGGAAAGCAGCCAGGCCCATTGTGATCGACAAGAGGCGGTCTGGCCCGCCCTCCACATATTTAAATGTCGTTACCGTATATTAATTGGGGATAGCTAATTAATTAACTATGGATAACCATGAATAGCTAATATCCCATTTGCTATTTTACCATACCCCATTGGGGATGATTTGCTATATGACAACTATATGAATAAACTTCTGGGATTGGGGATAGATTGGTATATAGCTATGTATTGTTAACTATTTCAATAACTATCCCCAATTGGCTATATCTATAGCTATATATTGATGGACATAACTATGGATAGCTAATTAACATAACTATGGAAAATCACTATTTTTTAATGGGAAAATCAATTATAAATGGACATTTTCAATAGCTATGTTAGTCATTACCAGAGGGTATCCCCTTAATCATATATCCAAATTATTGTCAATAGATCCAAATTATCTCCATATGGATCAAAAAAATCAGATTATTGATTTCATATCATACAGTATTTCAGATTATATGAATCCAAAGTATCGTGAAAATTATATCCATTGATTATCTCCATTGATTATATCCTCATGGCATCCCCATGATACTGTGGATGGTTGCGAAATCCGAGAAACGAGTTGGTAGATGGTTTGTACATCTTGTGACAATCCAATTATTTATAGTGTTTCATACAGGATGGGGCCCCCAAGATAGCGTTGCAGGTAGCTCTCTCTGGAGGATCGCCAGAGGTCAAGCTCAGATCGAAGTTCTGCAGAAAGTCCAGTGGCGCATCATGCCATCCCCACGTCCTCCGACTCGTCGATGGGAAAACCTACAAAAAGCTATTGAAAATGGTGATTTATAGTGGATTTACCTATGAAAAATGGTGATTTATAGTGGATTTACCTATGAAAAATGGTGATTTATAGTGGATTTACCTATGAAAAATAGTTATTTATAGTGGATTTATCTATTAAAGATGGTGATTTTCGATATACCATCTGGTTATGACTAACAGCTTGCCATGGAAAATCACCATGCTATTAATAGGTGAACCATCTATTTCTATGGGCCATCTATTACCATGGCAAACTGTTAAATAACCAGAGGGTAAATGGTGACAAAAATGGCTGCTAAATGGGAGCTAATGTTGATGTGATGTTGAGTTAATGGGATTTTATGTTGATTGAATGGGACTTAATGGGATTTCATAGTGGTTGAATTGGGGATAATGGGGGTTGCATGGTTTAGTTCCTAGTGTTTCAATCATTTATCAAGGCTGCTCGACATAGAGTTTCCTTTAAAAAACGTTCCTTCAACCAATTGGTTTGGCGGTTTCAACTTAAGGATTGTTAAGGAACGTAGGTTGGTAAGGATCAATCTAATGTCCTTGTGAAAAGACTTGATGGACTATGTGGATACCATATTTTTTTTTATCATTTCATAGAATTGAGCTATTGGTTGTTCAATGATGTTCAATGAGGGTCACCCCTGTACTTAGCAACAAGCCAACTGCAAAGAACATCTATGGTGGGATCATGATATGGCTTCATCAAATGCTACAGGCGTGCACGAACTACATGGGGGGGTGAACAACATGTGTGTTAAAGCAAGGGAAAGCACCACCTGTACCCTCTGGTAAACTAACATAACTATGAAACATCACAATTTTCAATGGGTAAATGCACTATAAATGGTCATTTTCAATAGCTTTTTGTATGTTTACCAGAGGGTAAACCATCCAACATAGCAAGAAAACCATCTACCAAAGTAGATGATGCACTTGTTCAAAATCGTGATGTCCACATTTTTTCCTTGGGTTGGATTATCAAAGAAAGGAAATCCACCCGGACCCTCCTCATGGCTAATTCCAGATGTGAACTCAAAAAACATACCCTCTCGTAAACTAACATAGCAATTGAAAATTGCCTTTTATAGTGGATTTACCCATTAAAAATGTGGATTTTCCATAGCTATGTTAAATTACCAGAGGGTAAAATTCAGCTGGTTGGCCAATTGTCAAATTCATAGCAAAGAACTGATCCAATGAAACTCACATAGACCCCCAGAATTATCATCCTCCATCTTCCCCTTTTCAATGGTAGCTGTCAAGGGTGTAAACCACTAAACTACCATTCACCAAGTTTCGCCTTGCAAAGCATAGTTGCTTCAGACTCAGTCATGTTGTTGGTTATATTTCCGATTTTATCCCCATCATGGTACCCTCTGGTAATTTAACATAGCTATTGAAAAATGGTGATTTATAGTGGATTTTCCCACTAAAAATGGTGATTTTCCATAGTTATGTTAAATTACCAGAGGGTAATCATCGTCAACCAACCATCATTTGTCATTCATAAAACCCGCCCTGTTCTTGGTGCTTTAAACCCTAGACATGCACATTAAATCCGATTTTTGATAACGCATCAACCACTTTGAATCTCATCCCAGTAGAAATCCACATAAAATTCTTCATTCTTTATGATTAAATCACCATCTTTCATAGATCAAATCATGAAAAAAAACTCAACGTTTCATGGTTTCCCATGATCGAAAGAAGCAGTTTCCGTGGTTTTTTCCGATTTTCATAGATTTCATACATTTCATACCTAAAATCCCAGTGGATTTTCCGATTTTAGGACATCCCCAGTGGATTTCCTTGTGGAGTTCCCATCCCTGCCGTCCTGTACTGTTCATCCAACGGAATCTGCAAATCAAACGCCGCCACCAGCGCCCGCCGGGCGCGCCGAAACGAGCCGCGGCTGGCGGAGGCGCGGCGCCCGGGCGAAAAGCAGGGGATGGGCTGCGCCCTGTGAGATCGGAGAGTGGATGTCACCCTTAAACAATGGGACACATGCCAAATATGTGTGTACATATATATATATGTATATGTATACATATCACAATATGTATATGTATACATAACGAAGTGATAGTTATATATATATATATATTCAATTATCATCATATTATACTTAAACAATCTTGAACATATGATTAATGAGTGGTTATATCAACGGATATATAATGGGTGTAATAGGTATATAACAGGGATATACTAGGGAGGTATATGGGTAAACTATAACAATTGACAAAGCTGATTTTTAAAAGCCCGTTTTGAGATAGTTACCACTACAATTCCCATCATTCCAATGAGGTCGTGGTGAGGTCACTATAATTTACTTGTGTGTATATACTGGTTGGTGGTTTGAACCCTCTGAAAAATATTAATCAGTTGGGGTTATTATTCCCAAGATATGGAAAAATGTTCCAAACCACCAACCAGTATAATATATATATATGCTGTATATGTAAGATTAATACCATTAACATAGACAATAGCGATATTGACCCGAGCAAGATACGAGCAACAGGAACCATTAAAACTATACAAGGTACCATTTAAACTATACAACATATGGCCAGAGTGAGACAGTTGAATGCAAAAAAATGACGCTTTAAGATTATTGGATTTTCTGAATTACTGGATGGAATTGTTACTGCCCTATGCTTGCAAAATACATTATATGAACAAAACAAAACAGGTCAGTATTGCAACCTGAAAACATAGGGTCAAACAATTCAATTGATCTAAAAACAGACATACTATTATAATCGATTATATGCATACCCCCAATCACAGGCTAGATAAGGGTTAACATCAACCCACTTATTTGCCTCAGTAAACTCCTGTATGATTTCCAAATTGTCGTCGGACAAACAAAAATTCCCGCTGATCACTGATCGAAGTGCTGATAGCTTCCCCTTTGGACCTGTCCTCTCAGTTGTAATCAAAACCAGTTGCACTGGCAGACCACTTTGCTCCGTGGCGTGGATCAAGTTCTCCAGGTTTCGAGAAAACGACTCAATGTGGCTGCAAATCACCAATTTTTGATAGTCAATATCTTAAAGCAGAGCAGCTTATCAATTAGATTTACCACATGATCCCCTTTGGCTCATTGGAATCCGTAGTTTCTTGTCGAATTGAACCATCCCATTAATCTAGCAATCTCCTGATATATTTGTACCCATATATCATTTTAAAATCACATACGCATGATATATGATGTATTGTGGATATATAATGCTATATAATGAAATAGATATATACATATATATATATGTATATATATATATATGCATATCAATGCCTATGTATATCACATATCATAAATATAATATGTATATATATATATATATGGGGGTTGTTCTAAATTCTTTTACCCGAAAGCGGCTCTTGGGCCGGCCTTGGGCCAACCTTGTGCGGAATTATCTTGCGCGACCACAGTCCCGTGTGAGTTTTTGGTTGCGCATGTTTTCGTGCCTCATTTTCGTGCTCGTTTTCGTGCTCTTTTTCGTGTAGCTTCCTATTCCTATAGTGCGTATACTAATGTGTGTCTGCTTGTCCGTGCGTCTTTTTATCAGAAAATATATCTTCCTCTTTTTACCAATTACATACACATTTTATATCCATGTGCATGCCTGTGTTTTTGACAGGGCGGCATGGACTACGGCATCAACTTTGGACCTGAAGCTTGCGCGTTTCTTGCGCGAAAGCTTGCGCGGATTTGGGCTGAACATTTCTCTCTTTGGCAGGATTTATATAGTATTATATGTATTATTAATTTAAATTTTTGCTTGCCTATGGGGGGGCGTGAGCACAGCACCTGCATGAGACTGCCCGTGCGGTAAACAAAAACGAATGCAGAATTGCCACACAAGCATACAAAAACATGTTGAAGAAACAACACAGTTTCCCTTGCGCAAAACCTTGGGCCGCCCTTGCACGAAACTTGCTCAATGCAGGTTTTAGACAACCCAAAAGTTCTCAACAAACCCGCTTAGTAAACTTTAAGAGGAAGGTTTTAGAATGACCACCATATACATATACATATGTATCCACGTATTATTTATCTGGTTGGTGGTTTGAACCCCTCTGAAAAATATTAGTCAGTTGGGATTATTTTTCCCAATATATGGAAAAATAAAAAATGTTTGAAACCACCAACCAGTGTTTGTTGGTTTATAAACCATTATAATCCCCATTAACTATAGTTACATCTACCATAAACCATAGTTAATCCACATTTCCCATATGTATCCATATATGATTTATACTCTTCCTACGAAGCCCTTCATCCACCCTTCACCCCTTGGGCTCAGTCTCCTGCAGCTACATCCCGTGGGCGTCACCGGCACCAGCGCATCGAGTGATCGTTCATCGGCGATGCAAAGACCCGGGGTAGCGCTGTGAAGTGCAGCATGACCTGGAAGATGTGGACAAATCCCACAAAATTTGGGATACCCTCCTTGTTGCCATGGATTTCGGGATATCACCTCAATAATGATGGTTAATGATGGTTAATGATGGTTAATGATGGTTAATGATGGTTAATGATGGTTGATATGATGGTTAATTAATGATTGTTATCATAATAGTTATTTCCATTATATAATAGTGGCTGATAATGGGTGAATAGTGGTTGATAATAGGATTAATATGGATATACCCTCTGGTAATGACTAACAGTTTGCTATTGACAATGGCTTATTAACAGTTGATTTACCTATTCCAAATGGTGATTTTCCCATGTAATGGATATATATATATACCCCCTGGTAAACAAACATGGCTATTGAAAATGGCGATAGAAATAGTGAGTTTTCCGATTAAAAATTGTGATTGTCCATAGCTTTTTGTATGTTTACCAGAGGGTAAATTACTTGAATTATGTACCTGGATGTGGGGAAAATGACCTGAAATTATGCAAATCGCTCCGCAATCATAGGATACAGAAAACCAACTATAATGGGGTTTTAACTAACAACAATGGTATATATATATATATAGATATGGGTTTTAAATATGGTGTATATATATATAACATACAATATATGGTATATTTAACTAAAATTATATAATTCATGGGTTTTAACTACGTAACAATGGTGATAAATGGGGGCTCTAACAATACTGTTGTTTTTTTTTGATTTCACCATGTCATAGGAGAAAGAACCAACCATTTTTGGGGATCATTTTCTATAAACCATAGTGATTTAAACAGCAAATTGGGGATTTCATGGGGTTTATAGCTGATATGGGGATGGGTCAAAACCTATGAAATTACCATATTTGGGGGAATAACAATCCATTAACCAGCTATTTTAGGGTATCTAAGGTACCAGGGTTTTGACCCATAGCCATATATAAGTTAGCTAAGTTGACAAGTGGTTAGTAAGTGGATATCCCACAGATGTGCCCCCCTAGATATGTCTGTTAATTTATAACCCCATCTAAAAACACTAACACTATAGTTATATATTCCCATAAATTGGGAATTTAACCAGAGACAAAGATGGCTTCATGGGATGTTCATGGGGAAATAGGATGAATAGCCAACTTTCATGGGATATAGTTGACCCCAATGGGGAAAACCCACATCAAAGCGTTTAGCCCAGGAGGAAACCATGAAAAGCCATGGTTTCTTATTAGATTCTATGTTAGTTCCCATGATAAAATCATGAAACATCCATCTATTGGACTGACATTGGATTGACATTGTAGGGCAGTTTACATTGTCGAAATACACCAAGGGAAATATATGGATTCACCGAGGGGAATCAAACATGATTCACTGGTTGGTTTCAACCTACCCCTCTGAACAATGATGGAGTGAAAGTCAGTTGGGATGATGAAATTCCCAAGTGAATGGAATTTCATCATGTTCCAAACCACCAATCAGATTTTTCCATAACTATTGGATTTTAATCCCCAACATAGACACATACATTTTGAATAGCCAATTTCGAGAGAAAACTAACCGAATCTCCTGCCATTGGCGTCGCGTGACCTATGTTAGAGGGATGATACTTGGATGAACTACTTTGAGGCAGCCCAGAATTGACATTGGAGGTGGGACATTTACCCGGCCTGGTAAACGTTTACAGATTGCGAACTGGAAGCCATGGCCCAGTCAAAATAGTGAGTTTTCCCACTGAAAATGGTGGTTTTCCATAGTTTTTTTGTATGTTTACCAGAGGGTACATAGTTTACATTGGACAAAGTGACCGTGGAATGACGTTCCGAAAATCTGGAACTACTGTGGAACTACATATCGGATGAACTACCCAAAAATGGAAGAGATTCACTATCAAACAAGGTGGATGTTAGAAAACATGGATTGGCTTAAGTATCCACAACTGGAAGGAATATCCATGAAAGATAGATTAACCATAGGGGATTTCATGATTTACATCTTTTTTTTGTACCAAAGATGGAAATTCAAGCAACAAGACTTGCCCTTGTGGATCATTTATCATCTGTTGAGTGGTAGCCTGGTAGCCTGTGATCATCCCATTTGCCGGGGCTGCCATCAAGATTGAACGGTTGAAATGGTTGAAACGTGTCGGATGAATAGATTAAGCATCTATCTGGGTACATTATAATAATTCACTAAACATTTCAGCAGGAAAAATGGGGAGTCAAAGGGGTCTAGCGGCTGGTAAGCATGGCAACTCTACAAATGGTGGATTTTCCATTGCCATGGATTACCAAAGGGCTCTTGAGGGCCTTAGCATTTTTGATCAAGCCCACAATCACTTTGGATCGGTCCAAATATGTGTTACACAACCTGTTGTAGTTAAGGACCTAGTGCTGCTTCATATCACCCTATCCCTGGCTGTGTGCAAGCACCATCTTGACCTGAATAATGTCTGATAAATCCGCAGGCGTTTTTTTTAGGCAATAAATTCTGGCCGAATTATCTTAGTTCACTAATTCACCGGATTTATTGGACATTTTGGGATGATTCCCTCAAAACTTAAGCCATAATTTCTAGTGACGTTGCAGGTCGTGAAACAAAAAGCTTACCAATCCCCCAAAAAAAGTTGGGCGGCGTCCATGTGTGTTGCTTAGACCTCCATATGATTCTCAGTGAGTCTCCCTGTTTGTCGGACAAAAATCCGTATTTTTTTGAGTTGGACATAGTTGGATATAGCACCTGGAAATGAAGGGAAGATCATTGTATCAATTGTATCCTGAAAATTTGCAACCCCCATATCATCTGGTCTATCAGCTCTGCCAGCTTGTCGGCAAAGGCATCCAGCTTGGCAGCAAATGTTTTCTGCCTTTCTTCTTATTCTTTCACCTGCTTTTCCCCCTCCACCTCTTCTGCTCCATTTTTAATTCTTTCCAAGACTTGCTGGGAGTCTCTGCCTATCTGGATGAAATTCTGCCAGTCCAACGTGGCAGGCGTCAAGTTGCGCCCTTGTGTGTTTCCACCGAACGTACTCGTCATCGAGTTGCTGCTTCGGCGCTTGCTTTTCTGCTGTTAACTTCGCACTCTGCTTTTCCAGCAGCTGGTTTTTTTCCATGTCCAAGCACTGTTTTTCCATACAATCACCTTTGGTTTCCCTTCAAAGCCATCTTCTACTGTGACGTGCTTATCATAGCAAATCTTAGACACCCTGCAGGAACATACATCTTGAGCTGGTTGGTTGCCGCATTTGTGCCAAAAGATTCATGTGGGATTCACCCAATGCCATAAACAACTTCCATTTGGGGATGTATTGTGATTTTGGGGATGGTTTATGATTGGGTTTACCATATTCAGATGAATTTAGCTACCTTTCACCATTTTTTTACCTAATTTTGGGTCATGTATTCATACAGTAACATCTCATTGGATTCATAATCAAATCATATCAAATCATATCCCAAGATATACGATTTGATGTACTATCCCCCAGCAGATACAGACCCTGCCAAATTGCTAGTTGGAGGGATAGTATGATCCCTTGTATCATCTGAATCACCACATGACCAGGTGGAACCTGGGTAGGTTCTGTATCTAATAAACACAACCCTTCTGCGAAGTCGGGCTTGGATGCATGTATTAGCTCTAGAATTACCACAGTTATCCATGTAGCAGCGACCATCAAATAAACTATAACTGCTTTAATGAGCCATTCGCAGTTTCGCCATGTAGATGCTTATACTGAGACATGCATGGCTTAATCTTTGAGACAAGCATATGACTACTGGCAGGATCAACCAGGTTTGTTTTACATGCAGGCCCACTTTGGGTCATCATTATTCAAACTATACAATCATTTCACCAAAAGAAAAAAAACATCTCATCTCATGATTCACAAGCGAGACAAGTTCGGCCATATGGGGAAGACTCCCCCAATCCTAACCATGATTTACGTCGCGACCTTGTGGGCAGGTCGTTCCGGTCAACACCCTCACTATGTTGTGAAATAATTTCAACCAATAGTTGAGCATTGATAGTCAAGCATTGATAGTTGAGACCAACCACAACTTTGGTTCTGTGGTGGTCTCTTAAAATGTTGTCTAGAAATAGATTACCCCCAATGTCCCATGGATTATCATTTTCCCTACTAAAATTGCTGTAACTTGGGGGTGCAAACCCTATTTTAGACACACCAACATATCAAATATGCTATATTGTTTGATTGTATGAACATCCCAATACATATCCAGATATTGGTTGGTTGAATACCATATTCATTGGTGATATTCCCATATTGTTGCCATAAATAATCATAAATACCATCATATAATCCCATTTGAGCAGTGTTCAAAATCCCTCTGCCTTTCTATTATACTGGTTGGTTAAGAACAGGATTCCCCGTTCTTGGATTAGTACAATTCCCAATGTATTGGGTAGTTTTTTAAACCCGAACTAATCATCAACCAACCAAGTTTTGAACACTGCTCATTTGTGTACTAACTGACATATCTGCACCAGGTCACTCTGGCTCAGCATTCCCTCCATCGGCTGGCGCTGCACGTCGCAGAGCAATGGGAAGGGCAGGAGGAAGTCAGGTGGAACGTCACGACCTGACGTGGCCACGATGGAACTCGGGAGCGTCGGAACAAAAAATCAGGGACCTAAGTCTTGTGGGAAATTTCGTGAGAAACAATGACGATGTTAACCTGCAAATTTTGGACATTTAAAGGTTCGGAAATATCGGTAACACTCCAAAACGACGGGGGATGATAAGGATGATCATGGTCTATAGTCCGCGGTTATGGAATCTCACAAAAATTCCGTAGGTCCGTAGGTCATTATGATATCAATCAGGTTCCAAGTTTGGGGTAGCATTCACTGAAATGGGACCAGGCGGCATCAACATACCAAATTCACCAACGGAAATGTGGAACATCAACATCTAAAACAGGGTGGAATCAACAGTTTTAGAATTAAAACGAAAGGCAGCTAGAACACTGGGAGATAAGGGAGATCAATGGCCATTCCAGGAACCGATTTATTGGAGGTACCTACCATATATAGGGCCTATTGTTCAGGCCTATGTAAGGAGATATCCTCACAAAATGTGGCCTTATATGGTACAGTACCTCCATTTTAGGATCCTGGAATTCCCATTGAGGAGATAGAGTATAACAAAATGATACCTGGCTGAATTCTAATAATTGATTCATTAACCTGAAACTAGCTGACGTATTGGGGATGATTTCCCTTACTGAGCATCATTCCGATGACATCACAGTGAGGTCACTACCAGGTACTTCTGACATGACCAACAAACCAATACAAGCTGATGGGAACACCACAAATTTGCTAGTAACACAGTCCGTGGTTTCCTGATTCCTGCAAAAACCACGACAACTAATTCCATCCCTCTAATATCAAACACCCCCCATTCTATGGTATCAAATAGATGTTTAATCCCAACATAGAACCATGATTTCTGGGGGAGTTCTAAAGATTTTCCCAGCTAGCCAACCACCATTTATAGATGATTTTCCCATTTTTTCCTATGCCAATCTAATTTTTACCGGGCAAAAAATCTAATTTTTATCTGGCAAAAGTGGATCTTCCCATTGAAATCGCAAAAGATTAAAGGATTTGGCAACTACCCATGCAAAGTTGACCGGTTGTTTCCTATGATTTTCATATGATCTTCCCACCTTTTAACACCTCCATTGACTTTGACTGAATAAGCCGCCACCTTGTTTCGCCAAGAGCTCAGTGAGACGTTGTGTCTGGTGAGCCAAAGTGGATTCCTTAGCGGAGTTGACGGGTGAAAATCGGATGGATTTAACGAGTTGGTGACGGATAGTTTTGCCAATAAAATGGTGGATAATCTATAAAATCTCTTATAAATTCAGCTATAAAATCCCTATAAAATGATGATTCTCCCAGCTATAAACCTCCATTTATGATAGATGATGGATAATGATTGCCAATAAAATCGTCCACGAACAGGAAATCTACCATTGGGGCAATCTATGGAGGGAATTCCCATGAACTATAAGATATACTCCCCTAATGTACCCAAACGTTAACAACCGTATGTGCGTTAATTTCGCTAACATTAGCTGACAGAAATCAGTTATATGAAGTATACATCAAGATGTTGGTTGGTTAAAATCAAGGAAACCAACTATTTTGCATGGTGTTCATGGTAGAAATCCTCATTATGTGAGTATAGTTAGGAATTATTGGATCCAAATTATGATACTCACAAGAACAACATCTATAAACCATATGGTTTCATAAATACTATCCTCTGGTAATTTAACAGTTTGCTATTGAACATGGCCCATAGAAATAGTTGATTTATCCATTAAAAATGATGATGTTCCATACTTATGTGTATATATGTTTACCAGGGGGTAAACATCACCAAAACTTAGTAGGCTAGGTTTTTCTGCAAACTAAAAATTGCACTACTTGGTGGTTCATTCCACATAGTAAATAGGTTATAGCCGTCAGTGGATTAACCCTACTTGTCCCACTAACAAAACCGCGGATGCAACCTACTTAGGATTCGTGGGATGAGATTCCAAGTAACTCTGCTTGTCACTAGCTACCCAGTTCCAGATGGATGCTTACGTGCTTTCCTACGTGATTTCAACGTGTGTCAAAGCCTAATATAATGATTAATGATTTTTATAATAATAGTTAGTTTCCATTAATAGTGGCTGATAAAAGGTGAATAGTGGTTGATAATGGGATTAATATGGATATACCCTCTGGTAAACGTTTATTGATTGCGAACTGGAAAATGGCCCATAGAAATAGTTGATTTTCCAATTAAAAATGGTGATTTTCCATAGTTTTTTGTATGTTTACCAGAGGGTAATCACCACACAATTGGGATTTTCATCGGGAAACGACAAACCATGGGATTTTCGGTTTGTGTCCCCAATTTTTTCACGTACCAAAGCATCACATTTCCATGGGTTTTCCCAATGATGTAAATGAATTTCCCATGTGTTCCATTATCTACTGGTGTTAAAACCATCGTTTTCGGCTAAAATACGGTTGAAATCCTATTCACCGTCAACCAACATCCATTACCCTCTGGTAAACATACACATAACTTTGGAAAATCACCATTTTCAATGGGTAAATCCACTATAAATGGCAATTTTCAATAGCAAACTGTGAGTCATTACCAGAGGGTAAATTCTCAAATTTCTTGCTTCACTTCCCCACCGAAGCCAGTATGACCCAAACCTCCACTGGTTACATGTCGAAGAAATCCGAATCACCAGTTGGTAACTATTGAGATTCCTACAGGATGGGCCTCCCCAGTTATAAGTTGGTTTATAACCCCCATGAATACCATAGTCATCTATAGTTACCATCTGGTTATTTAGCATAGCCATGGAAAATCCCAACCATAAATGGAGGTTTCTAGCTGGGAAAATCATCTATTTCTATGGGCCATGGCTTCCATGGCTATGTTAAATAATCAGTGGGTATATCTACCATAAACCATAGAATTCAGCCACACAAATAAACCAACTGAACGCTATCTTGGGGGCCCCATCCTGTATGAAACACTATAAATAATTGGATTATCGCAGGATGTACAAACCATCTACCAACTCGTTTCTCGGATTTCGCAACCATCCACAGTATCATGGGGACGCCATGAGGATATAATCAATGGACATATAATAGATATAATTAACGATACTTTGGATTCATATAATCTGATATACTGTATGATATGAAATCAATAATCTGATTTTTTTGATCCATATGGAGATAATTTGGATCTATTGACAATAATTTGGATATATGATTATATACGTGGGGATATTCCATATATAACTGGGGCTACAACTGGGGGTATAACCCATTTTTAATGTATGATTAAGGGGATAATATCATATGATGTTTCATGGTGAACCTCTCTTGCGATGATCAAGGCTCCAACTCAGCTGCTAGTGGGGTCCACCTGGGGAACTGGGGTGGGAATATTGGGTTGAACCATCTAACATGTGTATAGAATGGATATATATATATAATATGGGTATATATATATATCAATATATATATATACACACACGTATATATATATAATATATATATATATGGATATATCTAGAATGGATATTATGAAGTTTATCAGTTGATAACTTGTACAGACTGGCGGTTTCCTAAGTCATGGGGGGTACCCCAAGTCATCCAAGTCATTGGATCAGTTTCGTATTGAAGCCTATGGTCTTGGGGATCCACCAGTTTAAGAAACCTCCATATAATGGATATATAATGGATATATAATGGATATATATATATATATATGTAATGGATATATATGTATATATATACCCCCTGGTAAACAAACATGGCTATTGAAAATTGCCATTTATAGTGGATTTACCATGATTTACCCATTAAAAGTGGTGATTTTCCATAGCCAACTGTTAGTTTACCAAAGGGTAATGGATATGTAACAGTCAATGGGGAGAATGGGCATCGTATGCTATGGGATTCAATGCCATAAACCTCTAACTTGAAGGGTTGAAACTCCCATCCATTTCTGATGGCGTTTTTCGCACCGGGTTTACCACACCCGTTTCTATTTGTGAATGTGGTAATGGTAAACCATAGTTATCCCAAATTATCCCAGCATTACCACAAATTATTTGTGATTCTGCGATTTATTTGTGAATCTCTGAGTGATATCTTCATGATTCTGGGTAAATTTAAAACTATTTCACTACCCTGAATAGTTCGGCCAGCTATGGGGATGATCTCCCTTACTAACCATGATTCCAGGGTTCGGGAGAACAGGGTTCGGTGGTTATGATTTACCCAGATTAGTTGTTTGTTTGACCTATGATTTGTTTATAGATACCCTCTGGTAAACTAACATAACTATGGAAAATCACCATGTTTATAAATGGCCATTTTCAATAGCTATGTTAGTCATTACCAGAGGGTAATCCGTGAATTGATGAGCGGTACCAGCACATTCTCTACAGCTCTCAGCCCACCCATCAAGCCTACAGGATGGGGCTCCCAGTCGAGCGAGCTCGCGTTCAGTTGGTTTATTTTTGTGGCTGAATTCTATGGTTTATGGTAGATATACCCACTGGTTATTTAACATAGCCATGGAAGCCATGGCCCATAGAAATAGATGATTTTCCCAGCTAGAAACCTCCATTTATGGTTGGGATTTCCCAGCTGAATTCTAGGTTTGATGGTAGATATAGCGAACTAGATAACTATGGTAATATGGTATTCATGGGGTTTATAAACCAACTTATAACTGGGGGGACGCATCCTGTAGTTAAACCATGTTAAATAACTTAGTCAACTCTGTTATGGTTTGGGGTCTTCACCTTGCAGCTATTATAATCATTTATATATATATATACCCTCTGGTAAACTAACATAGCGAACTGGAAAATGACCATCTTGAAAATAGGTAAATCAACCAATATGCCATTTTCAATAGGAAACTGTGAAATTACCAAAGGGTAAAACCATTTATAACCCCCTATTTTTTTCCAGCCCCATTCTCCACCTTGGCGCGAGGGCACCTCAGCTTTTCAGCACACAAAAACGCGGCCGCCCGTCGCCACTGCGGGCGCAACTTGGGACTGGCACTCTGCAAGAGGCCTCGAAAAATCGGAGTTGAGGCTTCAGCATTCATCAGCCAAGTTTTTTCGGTGGTTGATTCCCCCACTTAATATAAAAATGGATATATCCATCAATAAATGATGGTTAGGAGGAATCACCAGAATGGTTTATTTAGTTTATTTCCAGTTCAAGAAATCAGTGATTTGTCCAGATCCATGTTTTTTCATTGTTTCCTCGTAGATTCCCCTGCAACAGTTTGAGTCTATGAAGTGCCCTCGATTTAGAAGGGTCGAAGTAGGAGAGATGGACTGTTTGGTTGGAAAATCAGCGTGACAAAGAGTTTGTAACTTGCCTTGAGAAATACATAAAATCAGTCGTGAACTTAATAGAAAGACTGGGTTTGCCAAAGGATCAGGAGCAAACATATCTATTATATTGCTTAACATTCACTTGGTTAATGTTTAGGATGTGGGGTCCATCCTTGGTTGATGTTTAGAGCTTCAGAACTGTTTGCAACCCAAGGATTCAAGGAAGCAAAGTGCCACAGCAACTGTATCAGAGTGCCTGAGCTGATTTTGATTCGTCCGAAAATGTGCTACGCGCAATTCATGTAGTTTATCATAAAATGATTCTTTCCTGGGCCCGTTTCAGATACACCAAAATACCATATTGTTGGATATACTGATTATGTATGTTTGTCTACATACATTTCTACCCAAAATATTCTCATATTTGTTGGTTTTAAATCGTCATGTTGGTTGGCTACAACTGCATCCATATTGAAGCTGAATCCATATATCTATGTATGTATATATATATGTATATATATATATTTGTTGTTCTTGTTCCACACATGTATATCTTGATAGATTGAAATCAATAAATTGATTCAATGATTCAATTGATCGGATTGATAGACTATAATCGATGAGATATAATATTGAATATTTGAAATACATCAGGTGGATCAGATAAAATCAACAAACTAATAGGAATGCTAGATTGGATGGAGTAGATAAATTAGATAAACATTAGATAGATTTAAATCGATGGATAGAATTAGATGGATACGTAGATGGATCGATGGATCAATAGTTAGATAGATAGTTTGAAAGGAAGATAGATACTTAGTTAGATAGTTGGATAGTTAGATAGTTAGATACATTGATAGATTAAAAAGAATAGATAGACTAGATAGATTGGATATGTCAAATGGATGAGATAGGTTAGATGGATTAGATCGATCAACTAGATTAGATAGATTAAGTCAATAGATGGATCAGACTAGATAGATGAAATCAATTGATTGAATAGACTAGAGGTATTAGATAGATTAGATTGGATTAAATGGATGCAATCAGATTACATTAGATTGTGTTAGATTAGATATATACATCGACACACAGACAGCACAACCGGTGGTACCCTCACAGCCTTGCTTCTTCGTGCTTTGCGCAAAAACGCGGTTTTAGCGCTTGTCTTGAGTGAAAACATCAGTGCGGAGACAGACAGGAAATCCCTCGATGAATTGGCTCCAAGGCTACACGTTTGAAAAGGTCGCAGGCACAACCTTCGTCTTGCACCAGAATCAGTCTGGAAGAGAGCCTCCAAGACTGCTTGGCTTCGACATGTTTGTACATGGGACTTTCCAAAGTCATGGGGGTACCCCTTTATAGCTGGATGTTTTATTTCATGGTTTATCTTATGATTAGGTGATTTGGGGGTAGCCCCTTGTGAGGAAAGCTCTATATAGACATATCATATCTATGCGCCCACATGGGGATGAATCAAAACTGGTTGGGGATGAACATCAAAAAGTCAAGCGTAACGCTTGGGTCGAGTACCAGGCTTTAGACCCATAGCCTTGTTCATGGTTGTCATGATGTTGATGTAAATAGTTGGCAAAGCATGGATTGGTTACTTATCTTGAGTTTCAAGTTGGTAGTCTTAAGGGACCAACAAGTGGTTTGTACTCCCTTTTTGGTAAAACATATCTTAATTTCGATCAAGAGCTCCAGAAAAGAGCTAAACCACTTCTTGGTGTCTATTTCCAAAAAGGAGAAGATCGCTCAAACTGCAGCCGGAGTCTGGTTTGAAAGGGGCCCCTTCACTGCCAAATTCTGACAGTTGTTCTAATTTTTGACTTGCTTTGGGTATTTCTGACCAACATTCCACATCTGACCAACTCAAAATAACTCCGACCAATAAAAAAACAAAAAACACAAATCCAGTTCCTGACCTTTACTATATTTCTGACCTTCCGCTACATCAAAGAAAATCCGACCAGTTCAGGGCAAAACACATTTCAAGAATAATGCTAATGATTTGACAGATTTAAACAACAACTTGAAAAAAAAAACATCCCCTTTGCCACATTAGTCCGACCAACTTCCGACCAACTTCTGGCCAAATTTCAGGAAATCCGACCACAACTTTCCAGAAACTCGACCAACTTTCACGAAATCTGACCAACTTGAAGAAACCCGACCAACTTTCACAAAATCGGACCAATTTCCAGCCAGCTTAGGGAAATCCGACGGGGGGGACCAACTTCACCAAATCCCACCACAACCGTCACTTCTGATCAAGTCTCAAGAACTCCGAGCCATTTGACAGCCTGGCCACCTTCATCTACTCCTTTTGAGTTTGTCCAGTAATTTGATCAGTTTTTCTGACTAGATTTGAACTGCTGCAATTTCTGACTAAGAAGTTATAGCACGCGATTCGAAACACCTAGAAACGGCGACAGACCTTCCAGTCTGCCCCGGGCTGGACTGAAAATTAATTCTGTCCTTCGCAAATACCTAGCTGTCTACCAACCCCAATGCCACCGCAAGAACTGAAGTTGATATTTGTGTTGTTAATGAAAACCATGGCTTGGTTTTGAGACTGCACGTGTCAAGTGCATGGTGCTTTGCCATGCAGCTGTGGCAACAGCCATGACATGCGGAAACAAAACCATATATTTCCATATATGTCCTACAAACTTTCATTTCTTTGATAGATGCTGGAAATTTGTTGGGGGGATACCTCGCGTATTTTTAGCAGCAGGGAATGTATGGACAGCAACAACAAAAGGGTTTCCTGAAGGTTGGTTTGTCCCGAAACGACACTCGTATGGAACTAAGGAGTCAACAAGTGCTTGTGACCTTGGACCTTCTGCCAAACATGCCAAAGTCTAAAATGAGGTCGAAACCACTTCTCGGTGCCTTATTTGTTTCCTTAAATTCTACCCTCTGGTAATTTAACATAGCTATGGAAAATCACCATTTTTAATGGGAAATTCCACTATAAATGGCCATTTTCAATAGCTATGTTAAATTACCAGAGGGTATCAACTTGAAATTCAACAGTTACTGAAGCCTACTTCAGGATGATGATCTTTTAAAACCTGTTTTTATAAAGAACATATATAGACAATGGGTAAATCATCATAAATCATCTATAGATGGACCATGTTCCATAAGTATGTTAAACAACCAGAGGATAATCAGTTTTCATCCCAATATCAAATACTATTCTCTCATTACTAGCCACTAGTAAGCATAATTAACCATTGTCAACCATCATTAACCATTACTAATGATGGATATTAAACTCGTCACTAACCATACACTCATCAATCTAGATTATCTAGATTAATCCGGTTATCAACCACTATTCTCCCAGTATAAACCACTATTAATGGGTTTATAATCAATATCTTGGTGTTTATTAATTATAAATTCATAATAATTCCATGTTTATTAATAAACCCATAATTAGTGATTATTTTAATTATTTTAATTACTTTAGATGATAAACCCATCAATAAACCCATTATTATCATTATTATTACTATTATTATTGATCTCCACATTATAAACCCATTATTATCAACCCACTATTGATTATCAATAATAATATGGGTTATTATCAACCCACCCAGATCTCCACATCTCTTTCTGTCCCGCTAAAAACGCGCTGCTCAGGTCTCCCCGTCATAGCAGATCTCTTGGCTCCGTCTGTGCGGCAGCTGCTGACGGAGAAGTCGACGTCGTCGACGTCCACGTGGATGGAGGGACCCTTGGCACCAGCCATGGCCGCTGAAACGGTGGATGGAATGGATGAAAAAGTGGGGATTTAATGGAATATACCCCCAGTTGTAGCCCCAGTTATATATGGCATATCCCCACTTAATTATATAATCATATATCCAAATTATTGTTAGATATATAATTTGGTGATGTTTACCCTCTGGTAAACATACACATATATAACTATGGCAAATCACCATGCTATTAAGGGTAAATCAACTATTTCGACTGGGCCATTTTCAATAGCTATTTTGACATAACCAGAGGAAGAAGAAATTGAGCATTTAATGGGTTTTTAATAGGTCAATGTAATGGTTCATGTAGGGATTCATGAAAAATGAGGATTTAATATAACTAAATGGTGTTTTAAGAGGGTTCAACCAACAAAAATCGTAGTCAATGTCGGGAGCTGGTGGTGAGCTGATGCAGACAACTGATGGTTAAGAATGGTTAAGAAGGGTTCATAATGGCTAATCATGATAATTCATGATTTAGAATGGGAAAAAGAAAGGATCCATGTTGTTGAAAAATCTGAGAGATCTTTGGGGCATATTGAAAGTTAATAGAAAGTGAAGGTTCAGAACCAATTGGTTTGGGATTGAACATGTAATGTCAGTTGAAGCAATAAATAGGGATGTAACGTAGACGTAGATATTTTAAGCCCAGATCCAGATTGGAATTTGGCCAGTAATAGATGCGATTGTATCAACAACAATTGGTTTAATGCAATCAAGCAAGATAGGTATAATTTGGTATAACGAACAAAAAATGAATGTGATACCCTCTGGTTATTTAACATAGCCATGGGAAATGGCCAATTTATAGATGGTTTACCTATTAAAAATGGTGATTTTCCATGGCAAACTGTTAAATAACCAGATCGTAATTCTCATAAGGATTCGTTCGGTGGGAGTATCCAATGAGCCTCCCCTACTTGGGTCCAAAAATGGACGGCTGATGGAGAAGATGATCTGAGATTTTGGAGTAGCCTGAAAAA